ACTGGCTCATAGGTTTGGACTTTTCAAGAGTACTCCACACACTCATCGCAGCTTCAGCTTCTTTGGTTGGGATGCAGTGTGTGAGCTTTCTGGGACAGCAAGCCCGTGGGTATTCTGCGTGGGGGACCCTGGTGGGAGTGCAGTGTTTTGTACTAATTGCTAACAGAAAGACCTGTAATATCAGTGGCATGAGTTGCCCTTTCTGTGTGCCCAGCTATAACGATCTGAATTTAGTACTGTATTTGTTAATATTAGGTACAAATTTATCCTGACACTTTTATAGGCAAAGCCTCAGAAACATTTAGTCATGTGAAATATATTCATAGTCTTGAAATATTTGCTTTTGCTCCCATGCATCTTAGGAAGGATCTCACTTCGTAATCTTATTTCTGTTGCTGTTTAGGAGAATGGTTTAGAGAGGGGTTTTTTTTTTGGACGGGTGGTCCTGATTATAAGATAGGTGTTAGTTTACACTGTACCATTACTGTGCCCTTATCAAAAAATAATTGTTTACATAATGTGAATGTTCCGTGTCTCCATACACTGTTCAGATCTTCCCTATGAGAATGAATTCAATGTGGTTTTAATTTGCATCTCATTTCCAGTGTTTGTTACCAGACATTTCAGACTTTTTGAGGGCAAATGAAAGTAGCTTGTGTTGTAAGTAAAATATTTTGTGTTAGAATAAAATAGCAAGTCATTATGTAAAGGGCACATTTCTCCATGTTTTTATCTTATAACTACATGAACTAGACTTATACAGGAGCTTTGAAAAAAATCCCCATGGCTGTTATATTCATACGTCTTTCTGACCCATTTGGACAGATGTTAGTACATTACTTGGAGCATATATAAAAGTTACCCTTCAATTATGAAAATGTTCTTGCACTTTGTTCCCCAAAAAGCCAATGCAGAGACCATAAGACACAGGATAATAATAGACCTTTGGACAGAGAGACATAAAATGGAATGTATAAGTCCTTGAAAGAGCAACTAAATACATTTTTATTTCAACAACTGAAGACGAGAAACCAAAACAGATGGGCAGGGGGTAGAATAAATGAGAGCAAAATTAGTATGCATCATGCCTCTTGGCACCCTCATCCACCAATTTACTCTGTAGTCTATTATTGTAAATCAGACCTAGTTCTGTGATACAGTTCCTGATTTCTTCTTGTATGAAATAAAAACCAACAAACCTTTTCCCTGGAAATTTCTGGAACCATCAGTAAGGAGCTCTAGCCATATCATTATCAAGGAGCTGACTCAATCCCTTCTTGGAAATAAGTAGGTTATAAATTATACTAAATTAGAAAAAAAAACTAGCAAAGCGTTCCTGAAGAAGACACTGCCCTGCAAGGCATGGCGAGATGTTAGATTGAGTATCTTTCAAGACCTTGAAATTGAAAAAGGAACATTGCTTGCTTACCTCCTGGGATATCTGCCCAAAATACATCTTCACCAGAAGTTAAGTGGAACTTTTTAAACAATGATGAACTAGTTACTAGTACCTGTTTTTAACTTAAGAATTGCAACCTGCCCCTGTTCTGAATTTACCCTCTAGATCACACATGCAAAATTTGGGGAAATGTTATCAGTTCTCCATGCTGTCACTCCAAAATTGAATGGCCTAGAGCAATGCTGAATATATCCCCAAGATTCTATAGTTGGCCATTTGCGCTGGGCTCCATTGGATGATTCTGCTGTTGCCATGCCTGGGGAGTCCCAGGTGGCCTCATTCACACGATGGGGCCTCAGCAGGAATGGTTGGGCCTGCCTTTCTCAAGATCAGGTTGCTTCTCTTCCCCAAGGAGGCTAATCTGGGATTGTCTACAAGGCAGCTCGGATCTGAGATGTGGAAGCAGACACTGCAAAACCCCTTGAGGCCGAGGCTCAGGAGTCACACCGTATCCCTCTGACACTGTGAGTCAGAGTGAGTCACTCAGACAAGCCAGATTCAAGGGGGGCCAATGGACTCTCCCTCTTCATGGGAGGAGCAGTAAAAAAGTGGTAACCATTTCCACTGTGCCCCAGAAATGAGCATTGCCTTTGTCTGTTCAGTAACTCATCTGGGTTGTTCCTTCTCTGATAATGTTTTGGGTCTCCTTTCTTCCCCTCCACTCTTTCCCGGGTCAAAACTGAATTGCCTCATGAAGATATCATAATAGTCACCTCGTTGATGACAGTCAGTCCTGCCTCTTCAGTCATGAGACAGTTTTCTCTCTCTAACCATTGTTTTAACCTATCCTGCTCTCCTATTCCTCACACATCTGTGTGGTTTTCCATGTCCTATCATTCATTATTATGTTCCCACATTCAGATATTTCCTACGTGGCCTCTCTCTCTCTCCCCCTCTCCCTCTCCCTTTCTTTCTCTCAATTGTTTCCTTCTAACTCGCTGGTGGTGTTCTCCAAAATATTTATTAATTGTTTACTATGTGGAAGACAGTTTCCTAGGCACTATGACCAAAGGTAGGTAAGGTCCCTTCTCCAGTGAGGGAGAAACAATACATAAATAAAGCAGTAAGATGCACCCCCCCACACACACATGAGTATTACAGGAACAGGACAAAGGGAATACTGCAGAGTTTTGTGGGCACAGTAACTGCAGTCATCACGGCTTTCCCCTCTGGGGGAGTAACTCCTGAGCACTTGACCTGAGCATCCAGGGGCCACATAGGGGAAGATGGAGGGAGAAGTGTTCTGGGCAGAGGAGACCACAGGCAAAATGATGTCTTCCAAATCCTTGCTCCCTTTAGGACTGGGTGAGTAGCCCTAAAGTTGATCAGCTGATCCACTCTTTCTAATCCCTGGCTGTGTGTGATAGGATCATCTGGAATCTTTAAAAAATACAGATGGCTGGGCCTTATCATAGACCCAGCAAATCAGATTCTCCAGAGCTGGCAAGGGGAAGCACTTGGATTCTACTTCAAAGTCCCCATATGATTCTAATGTGCAGCCCAAACTGAGAATCACTGCCCTACAGCAGTGCTTTTCACACATTAGCATGCATAAACCACGTGGTGGGGATCTCTAAAATGTAGATTCTGATTCACTGGGCCTGGGGTGAGTCCAGGATGAAGCACTTGTAAGAAATTCCCTGGTGATGCCAATGCTGCTGATCCAGTTGCTCCTCCAACTGTGGTGTATAGACCTGTGGTATCAGTATCAGTGAGACAAGCACATTCTCAGCTAGAGTGTCATAAACCAGGTGATGTGGTCACCTTTTGAACTAGAAACACTGAGGTATGGTGGAGCCTCCAATGGTTCAAGAATGTCCTTCAAATGATGCTGAGACCTACATCAGTGGGAGAACCAGACTGTGTCTTAGCGTTTAGACAAAGTTAATTTGGTACCTAATTGTGCTGCAGGTTGTGTTTTCTATCATTGCTTTATGTACACAGGCCTGCTGAAGCTTCTCAAGCACTTGCTTTGACCTGAGAGTGCGAAGCCACAGTGATCTCCTTTCACTCAGTCGCCACACAGAGCAAGTTCTCTTTCATTCTGGTTAGAAAAGGAAGAGTTGCGGCTCTAGTTCCAGACTCCAGCCCCTGCCTCCAAAGCCCCTTTGTTCACTCAGCTTGCAAGGCGCCAGGAGCTTACAAATTCCCTGCAGGTGATGCTCGATAGTCACAGGTGTCACCTGCAAGGACGTGATTTATTGAAAGCCCTGCTGGGCCAGTTTATTCCCTAAGTAGGGATATTGTAACTCACCTCTAACTGCTTTTCTATCAAAAAAATCACCCTCTGTACTGCTTCTCTTTGTTTACAAGCTTCCGTTAATGGTTTTCTCTCCATTAGGCATCTCAGGGGAGAGCTGTTTAGAGAACTAATTGAATCCTTGCCAGTTTTGGGCATGATCCAAAGCTGCTCCAAATCTCCATGTTTTCTGTTATGTATTTTCCTCTCTTCCAACATGTGGATAGTTTCAATAACTCCATTTGAGGAATATAAACTAGAAATTATAACTCTTTACTTGAATGCATATTATGAATATGGCAGGCAATGAGTAAAAAAAATTTGAACTAAGTTGTAACTGAATATGTATATTTTTATCTTCCAAAAGAATCATCTATTTTAATTTTAGAAATTGGACTATATGCGATTAATTTGATAATGAAGAAATAATCCCTTTTTTCATTTCACCAGCTCTACCACCAGGCCCCCTCCACAACCACCAAATTTGAATAGTCCCTCTTTCTAATCAATGAAAAGATTATGAAAATAATGTTAGCACTCTTGGTACATAAAAAATAATTTTTTTCGGGCCCTTAGCAATTCTTTTTCTACCAGACCAGATTAGGTTAATCACTGCAGCGGGAATTTGTGGGACTGCATCCTAGGTAATAACATCCTGAAAGATTAAAGAGGAAGGGTTGGCAAATAAGTAAATACGTAAATAAATAGCATCATGAGGGATAAAACAGAAATTATAAAATCAAAAATTCTTTTAAATTAAAAAAACTTCTCAATTTATGTCAAGCTAAAAATTTATGCTGTTTGTGAATATGTAATGCATGAAGCATGTGGAGGCAGGGTTGCTGCAGACACTCCACAGTGAAACCTAATGTAGCATCTCACACATTTGCATACACATTTGGACTCAGGAGCGTGTTTTTATTCCCTACTTCCAGATTTCCTCTAGATTGCTCTTGTGGAAATCTCTGGGGCATCACGTTGTATTTCAGATCTCACCTGTGCTTTAACCCTTCTGCAGCACACGTGCTACCCTCATGGGCGGCGTGCTCCTTCTCTCTGGTTCCACAGTTTATATCATCATCGATTGTTCAGGTTCTGAGCGACAAGCATGCTCCCTCCTGTTGTTCTTTTCATCTGTTTTCAGCTGTCATTCATTCGGAAGTGTTCATTATCTGAGATAAGTAGCATCATCTTTTACAGAATTATACTTGGGCCATACAATACTTCAGAGCTGAAACCTTTGAGCATATGCCCAGGGTTGCTCAGCAGAAGTGAATGTTCTCTGCTGTCTCCCTTTCACAGTTTGCGGAGATGAGTGCACGGGCATCCTGCTGGGTGACTTGGCCCGCCTGGAGCAGATGGCCACAAGCATCAACCTCACAGGCCCGCTGCCGGCTCCATACAAGACGCTGTATGGCCTTGAAAACATGACGCAGGAACTAAAGGTAGGCTGGGCTAGTAACAGCAAGAGCCAGGGGGAAAATGACAGAAGCTTCTTTAATCATGGGAATAATGTTCTTCCCATTAACTCAAATTCAGAGGCTGTCTTAGCCAGTGTTTTTCAAACTTGAGAACTATAATATACAGATCACTATTAAGGAAAAGAGAGCCATGAACCCACAATGTTGGGCTTAAATTACTTGTATTACATTACTGAAATAGGTGCAAACATAAAATCAGGTATGAACTCCTTATACTTATAGCTCCATAAAGTCTAAACAGATTAATTCTTCCAAAAGCCTAAAAAAAAATAAAATTCAAATTAAAAATGTTAATATAAAATAACAGATGATTTTCACTAAACGCAAGTAGCTGCTAGCAACAGGAACGTGAGACAGACGGCTTCTCCGCAGGCGTCTTCGCCAGCACGTGCCATGTGGTAAGCCTTTCCACAGTATTACCTGGACACAATATTACCTTTCCACAACATTACCTGGACACCCCTTCCTTGCAAGGGGTCCTCAAATAGCATTTGGGATCATGTGACAAGTTTGGGTGATTTCTGTGCTCAGTCTGCCACGTGATCAAACATGCATGCAAATGTGGGTGCTGCAGTCAGGGGGTCCTTCGTCTCTAAGTGCCTAGCCTGGGTTCCAGAAATCCTTACTTACATTAGTCTTTCAGCTTCTTATAAAAATGAAAGCAGAAGATGAAAACTTTGTGCTAGAGAACAAGTAGACCTTTGAAAGTATTTCAGTAAGAACTAATTTAGGAAACTATTCTACAACATTGTTAAAGCTTTCAGTATTAAATGGGATAGAAGGAAATGTTAAGGAAATTGGGGTTCATCTGAGGAAAAAGATGAAAACTAACTACATATACACTATTGGTCAATTATCAGACATTTACTGAGAAATTCTGGAATGCCCCAGAACTACATTTGGTTCCCTGGGGGCTTTGGGACTCCTGTGAGGTAGTCACTACCCTCAGGAAGCTTAGAGTTTATGGTTTTAAAAATTATAGTAATTAAACAACCTAATCAAACAACTAGCAAAAGTACATAACTACTATGTGCCTTATCAGAATTTAACATACAATTGAATACGAAGATTGGAGAAATGGGTAAGATTCAGAGTAATCAGAGAATGCGTTGTTAATGAGAGTGCAATTTGTGTTGGACATTGAAACATAGACATAATTTCAATAGGCAGACAAGCATTGGTGAGGACTGGAGGAAGAAGTCTAAGATTTATTTGCTAGGTACTGGCAGACACTCCTCTAGGTAAAGTATTCTTTAATTCAGATCATGGCCTTTAAGGCAAACATCATTATCTCTATTTTCCAGAAGGAACCAATAATGATGATAGCAATAACTAACATTTGTTGAGGAATATCTCTGTGCTAGGCAACTGACTGGTTTTACCATGAATTATTATTCATAAATCTGAAAGAAATTCCAAAGACTAAGAAAAGAGTACCATATCATCTACATTATTTCAGGCAGGGAAACTAAGGCTTGGAGCAGCTCCATGAGAGACACAAGGCCGCACGGCTGGTAGCTGTAGAGCTGGGACTCTGATAGAGGCCACATTGCTTTAGGGCCTGTGAGAATGAAGCCACCTTTGCGAATCTCAGAGAGAGAAAATAACTTGCCCTGGAGCAATCAGTCTGCTCCAGGATCATCTCCCTGACCCCCAGCCCATATAGACTTTTGCCACCGAAACTAAGAGAATCACATAGCAGAGGCAGGTGTGAATCAGCAAGGCCTGTCTGACAGACGTTAGAAGTCAGGCGAGTAGACGATGATGCTGGGGACTTGAGTGGTGCAGGGTGATGTGAGAGACAACCTTGAAAGCCAGGCAGAGGGATCTTAGTTTACCTTGTTGGCCCAGTATCAGGAATGGGAAGAGTTTTAATAGAGAAGATGCTGATCAGTTATTTTCCTTATACATGGAATGAATACAAAAAGAAATAACCTAGAAAAGCAAATACATAATTTTTTAAAAATAACACTTCAGCAATGGATGAATCACTTAAAGGGCTCTGTGAAAGAGGGCGTAATCTGTGGCCATGATCTAAGCTGGGGGATTTAGTCACTACATCCTAAAGGCTGGGTGCCTGTCAGAATGACCTTCATTTTCCTTAAATTCCAATCTTTCTTATTCTGTGTTTGCCTTCTTCCATAATTCACTTAATATCTGGATACTTGACATCCCATTATGATATATTTAAACCTGAAGCAAGTTATGTACCCTCTTTGTTTAGTTCCTTTACCTGTGTTAATGCTCCCTGGGTCCCAGCCAGAGGCTACCAGGAACACACGTGTGGTAGTCCAAATTTGGGCTTACTAACTTGTTGCAAAAAAGGACACTGCACACCATAGGGACTTTTGGGTGTCTCAATGAAGAAGGCGTTAGAAATAACTTATTGGCATTAGGGTTTGTGCCAGGCATTGGATTAAGTGCTATGAGGTAGTGGGAATGATCCCACAACGGAGTATTCTGCTAATGAACCTCATCTATGAGCAAGGAGGAACAAAGGGAAGCTAAAGCCATCGTTAGGAAGGAGGCCGTGGTCACTCATCTCAGCCGGAAAATGGGATTTGGGTATTTTTGTGGTCTGCACTGAGACCACGGTGTTGCCTGTGCTTAGACAAGATTATGGAGTGGTCTTCTTCTGTTTCATTCATCACTGTCACAGAGTGCCCCTGTCTAATGGTGGTGTTCTGTGAGATTGATTACGTTCAACAGGAGAAGAAAATGGCCTTGCTGCATGCCAGGCCTGCCCCTACCAACACGGAGGTCAGGCCAGGTAGTTAGCGCCTGGCCAGTTCCCTCTGCCAGGACTCCCGTCCCCTTTCTAACCTGTAAATGGAATCTTTGTTGGCTGAAATATGAGCCTTAAAGAGTCAGACTTCATTAGGACTCCTCCCCTTAACTGGCTGCGTGATATTGTTATAACTCTCTTCAAGTTTTAGTTTCCTCATACACAAAATGGAATAACATATGTATCATAAAACTGTCATAAGAATTAAGTGAAAAACAAAACAAAACAAAACAAAAAAAAGCCTGGAACATAGTAATTTCTCAGTAAATTACTGCAATTTGTATTATTTGTCAGAATATTCCACAGAGCTCTGTGTATATACATGCCCAATTGAAATGCTTTCTTCCTCTTTTCTTCAAAGGTGAGAAGGCTGGGGGGGGGGGTTTGTATATAAAGGAAAAGTGTGTTCTGCTCAAAGTTCAAGCTCATGATCCCTGCAAAAACATTTACTAAAATGTACAAATGGATGCGATCTTTTTCAGCACTTGCTCTCACCTCAGCGGGCCCCAGAGAGGCTCATTCAGTTGGCAGAGGGCAATGTGAACACGCTCGTGACGGAAATGAATGAGCTTCTGACCAGGGTAAGTTGGCAAAATCTGAAGTCTTCTTAAAGGAGATAGATCATGTAAATTAAGGAAAATTACTTCAAATTTCTGAAATGCAAATCTCGCTCTTCTGAATTCCCATTTTTGGTGCATGAAATGGATGTATTTTTGATTTGCTACTTCCACCTCATATAAAATCTGAGAACCCAGTGGCACGAAAAAAGTTGGAGTACTTGCGAAGCGTCAAGAACAATGGTTAAAAATACCAGAATGACAGGATATTTTGAAAACTCTATCTAGTAGCCTCTGTGCTACAGTTTTCATCAATTCTGAATTTTAAGCACTGTCTTTGCCTGTGTAAGGGGAAAAAATGAAAATACTTGTGGTCTCTTTGATCTCTTCATGGGATTTTTGCATTTGTATAGAAATGCAGTCTGTATCAGTATGCCCACACAAAAGGAGAAATCTCCTTTATTGTGAAAATTCAAAGCATTCAAGACACTTTTTAGAATCAGAATGGAAAGTCCGTGTTGCATTGATCAGGCTTTTAAAGGAATTGGGAGTCTTAAAGCAGGCAGGTTAAGGTTCTTTTTGCTGGGAGAGAATGAATAAAACAACATAAAGTCCGCCATCTTGTGGCCAGAAAAATGCATGAACAGGAAACCTGGCCTGTCATTTAGGGACCCAGTTTGATCATCTAAGAGCGTTAAATGACAAAGAATATTATAGTAAGAGGGTTCTTACAGATTATTTAGTACATTTTTTAAAGAAGAGATACTTCAGGCCATATGGTAGTACATATGCGTATAGTTCTCGAAATCCAGGGACCTAGATAGGCCCAGTCCTTGGCTTCCCACTGGCCGGATACTGTTCCTACCCCCAATGTGGTTTAGGAAGATTTCCACAGGGAAATCAGATGGGCTTCCAAGCACACAATGCTAAACAATGGCCCTGGTGTTACGAATAGCATACTAAACGCTTCTCCATAATCTCATCCAAACAATGTGGAATGTACAAATACAAAATAGGGTTTCTTGCCAAATGTAGTTAGACATTAATTAGACTAATGAGTGCATTTATCTCATATTGACTGGATATTTGATAATTTTGTATTTGTTATGGGAATACAATGAAATAAGAAATTTTAAACAGATCATAGCAGAGTAAACTCAATTCAACCAGCACATATGAATGTTCAGGACATGCAAAGCCTGAGCTAGGTGCTGGCTGATGAAATTCAAAGACTCAGTCTTTTTCTTCAAGGAGCTTACAGGGTTGTGTGTGTGTGTTGTATATGAAAGCATTTAGGCATATAGAACAATCGCAAGTAAACATACAACTTGAGATAAAATAAAGAAATGTACCTGAGAAATACATACATATGGAATAATTTAATCTTGATAAAGGTGTTAGAGAAAATTCCTTGAAACAGGTATCATTTTATTCAATCACTGAGTTAATATTTATTTGGGTTCTTCCATGCCCTACCAGGAGTGCCCAACCAGTGGCCTGCAGGTTGAGTACGACCCAGGATGGCTATGAATGAAGCCCAACACAAAATCGTACATTTATTTAAAACTTGTTTTTTTGCTCATCAGTTTTCATTAGTGTTTGTGAATTTATTGTGTGGTCCAAGACAACTCTTCTTCTTCCAGTGTGGCCCAGAGACACCAAAAGTTTGGACACCCCTGTAAGACACTAAGATGGAATGACAGATGCTGAGGACAGAGTATAAGCAAAACTAACACAGGCATTGCCCTCACTGAGCTGGTGACGGTTTAATGACCTGGGCACAGGAGGTATTTCACTAGGAGAGTCATACCTTCATTATGTCTTAGCCTTCATCCTTGATTTTTTCCAGCAGACTCTCCCATAGTAAAGCTTTCAAAATAGACATTATGTTCCAGAAGTTTAAGATTCAAAACAAAATTGATTATAAAATACCCAAATTTTCTATGTACCCCCAGCCCGTACATAAGCCTAGCCTCCTTGTCATCAGCATCCCTCACTGGAAGGGCCCAACTGTTCTGCCAGATGAGCCTCTGTGGACAAATCATGATCAAGTGATAATGTTCCTGGTTTACTTTAGGGTTCACTCTTGGCGTTGTACATTCTATGGGTTTTGACAAATGTTTAGTGACATATCCGTCATTATGGTATCATAGAGTAGTTTCACTGACCTAAAAACCCACCCTAACCCCTGGCAACCAATGATACTGTCTCTATAGTTTTCTTCTCCAGAGTATCATGGGAATTACGCACTTTGTAGCCTTTTCAGATTGCCTTCTTTCTCTTCTTAATAATATATTTAACGTTCTTCTGTATCTTTCCATTGCACTGGATATTTTCCTGTTGTCTGAATATACCACACTTTATTAACATACCTAATGAAAGAGGTGTATTGGTTGCTTCCAAGATTTGCCAATATGAATCAAGTACATAACTTTTCAATTCATCTGTGTAATTACTGAGAAGCACCATTGCTACATCATATGGTAAGAGGATATTTAGTCTAGTAAGAAATCACCAAACTATTTTCCAAGGTGTTTGTACCATTTTGCATTCCCACCAGCAACATTTGGTGTTGCCAGTGTTTCAAATTTTTGGTCATTCCACATAGGTATGTAGTGCTCTCACATCATGGCTTTAATTTACAATGGCCTACTGAGATGTAATGTTGAGCATCTTTTCATATGCTTATTTGTCATCTATATATCTACTTTGGTGAGATGTCTGTTCAGGTCTTGCTGTGGACAAATGTTTGTGACCCCTCAAAAATACTTCTGTTGAAATCCTAACCCTCAAGGTGATGATATTAGTAGATACAGCTTTTAGTAAGTGATTAGGTGGTAAGGGTGGAGCCCTCATGAATGGAATTAGTGCCCTTACAAAAGGGACTCCAGAGAGACTCTTTGACGCCTCCTTGGCTGTGAGGACACAGTCCACAGATGCCATCAGTGAGCCAGGAAACAGGCCCTCACAAGACACCTAACCTGCTGGGGAGTTGCTTTTGCACTTCCCACTCTCCAAAGCTGTGAGACCTAAATTTCTGTTGTTTATAAGCTCTCTAGTATATAGTATTTTATTATAGAAGCCCAAATGCACCAAGACAAGATTTTTCTCATTTTTTATTGAAGTTGTCTTAGAAGTTACTTATTAACATCTAAGGGTTCTTTGTATATTTTGGATAAGTCCTTTATCAAGTACATCTTTTGCAAATATTTCCCCCTAGTCCATGGTTTGGCTTCTCATCCTCCTAACAGTGTCTTTCATAGCACAGATGCTTTTAATTTTAATGGCGTCCAGCTTATCATTATTTCTTTCATGGATCATGCATTTGGTATTGTATCTAAAAAGTCGTTGCCATACCCCAAATCATTTAAATTTTCTCCCGTGTTATCGTGGAGTTTTATATTTTTTATTTATACATATAGTTTTGCATTTTATATTATGGCACAATTTGAAATGATTTCAATATTATTTTTAAATAAGCTTTTTATTTTAGAATAGTTTTAGATTTGTAAAGAATTGCAAAAATAGGACAGAAATTCCCCATATACCCCACACTGTTTTACCTCCTGTTACTGTGTTGGCATCATATATCTCTTACAACTAGTGAGCTAATATTGATTCATTATTATTAACTAAAGGCTACCTTATTCAGATTTCTTTAGTTTTTACTTCATGTCCTTTTATTATTCCAGGATCCCATCCAGGGTACCATATTACACTTAATCATTATGTGCTCTTAGGCTGTGTCCTCTAGACTCTGATGGTTTCTCAGGCTTTACTTGTGTTTGATGACTTTGACAGTTTTGATAAGTTCATGTATTTCATAGAATGTCCCTCAGTTGAGGTTAGCTTCATGTTTTTCTCATGATGAGAATGGAGATATAGGCTTATTGTGGGAAAGACTATGGAAGAAAAGTATCATTTTTATCACATCATGTTGAGTCCTATGCAATCAATATGTTTATCCTGATCACCTGGCTGAGATACTGTTTGCCAGATTTCTGCACTGTAAAACTACTCTTTTTTCCCTTCTCCATACTCCAACACCATTTTTACTTTCCTATTCTTCAGATTTTATAACACAAAAGCCTAGAAATAAGACTGCTAAGAGCAAAGATCTCCTTGGTGAAGGAAGTGGGAAGGAAATAGAAATTTTCTCATACCTGTCCCTACCACATATATAATTATAAACATAACCCTCATGGAGACTTTAAATACTAAATACTAAATTCTTTCTTTCCTTGCGTTCAAGCCACATGATAAGGAAAAGGTGAACTGATGCACATAGAATCATAACTAGAGGGCTAGATGACTTAAATATCCAATGGCTAAGGTCACCAATACCTTTAACTCACAACCATGAATGACCCAGCAATTGGACCAGAATAGAAGTGCAGTGGCCATGACTTTGTATTAGTTATAGCTACATTAGGAGGCAATTCCTTAAACTAGGACTGCACATTGGGATTACCTGATGCCAGATCTCACCCCTAAAGGTTGTGACATCACTGAGGTGAGATGCCATATGAGCACTGGGACTTTTAATAGCTCTCCAGATGATTCTGATGTCAGGCAAGGCTGAGAACTACTGTGAGCCTATTAGCTATCTGATGGCTCCAGCCCCCTTCCCTCTGGACAGTGCTTTCTCTGGTGCATCCAGTGTTTTGCTTTGTTGGCTGACCAGTAGCTTTAGGACTAATACATTCTTTATATTTGTTAAAGCATTTGACGAGTCTCATCCTGCATCTGGTGGGGGAACTGCCCTCTCTCCTCTAAGTGCTTATATGTTTTGTGCTTGCTTTTTTTTTTTCATGGAGCAACCCAGTTCTTTAATAGTCCTTGATAAAGAAAATACTATTTCTCTCCCAAACAGACATTTTAACTTGTATTTTATATAATTTAATTAATATGTAAATATTGCATAAGCAAAATATTACATAACCAGATATCTCTTTCAATGTATTTTGATTTATCATTTTATTTCCCCATCAGACTATAAATTCCTTAAATATGGAAATTATACT